TTCCCATTGAAATCTGATGCGTTTTCAAAGTGTTCCTTTTTTTTTTTTTCTGAGCAATGTATACATACAGTGGGGCAAAAAAGTATTTAGTCAGTCACCAATTGTGCAAGTTCTCCCACTTAAAAAGATGAGAGAGGCCTGTAATTGGCATCATAGGTAGACCTCAACTATGAGAGACAAAATTAGAAAAAAAATCAAGACAATCACATTGGCTAATTTGGAAAGAATTTATTTGCAAATTATGGTGGAAAAAAAAGTATTTGGTCAATATCAAAAGTTCATCTCAATACTTTGTTATATATCCTTTGTTGGCAATGACAGAGGTCAAACGTTTCCTGAAAGTCTTCACAAGGTTGGCACACACTGTTGCTGGTATGTTGGCCCATTCCTCCATGCAGATCTCCTCTAGAGCAGTGATGTTTTGGGGCTGTCGCTGGGCAACACGGACTTTAAACTCCCTCCAAAGGTTTTTTTATGGGGTTGAGATCTGGAGACTGGCTAGGCCACTCCAGGACCTTGAAATGCTTCTTACGAAGCCACTCCTTCATTGCCCGGGTGGTATGTTTGGGATCATTGTCATGTTGGAAGACCCAGCCACGATTCATCTTCAATGCCCTTGCTGATGGAAGGAGGTTTGCACTCAAAATTTCACGATACATGGCCCCATTCATTCTGTCCTGTACATGGATCAGACGTCCTGGTCCCTTTGCGGAGAAACAGCCCTAAAGCATGATGTGCCACCCCCATGCTTCACAGTAGGTATGGTGTTCTTTGGATGCAACTCAGCATTCTCTCTCCTCCAAACACAACGAGTTGTGTTTCTACCAAAAAGTTCTATTTTGGTTTCATCTGACCATATGACATTCTCCCAATCCTCTTCTGGATCATCCAAATGCTCTCTAGCAAACTTCAGACGGGCCCGGACATGTACTGGCTTAAGCAGGGGGACACGTCTGGCCCTGCAGGATCTGAGTCCCTGGCGGCGTAGTGTGTTACTGATGGTAGCCTTTGCTCTCTGCAGGTCATTAACTAGGTCCCCCCCGTGTGGTCCTGGGATTTTTGCTCACTGTTCTTGTGATCATTTTGACCCCATGGGGTGAGATCTTGCGTGGAGCCCCAGATCGAGGGAGATTATCAGTGGTCTTGTATGTCTTCCATTTTCTAATTATTGCTCCCACAGTTGATTTGTTCACACCAAGCTGCTTCCCTATTGCAGATTCAGTCTTCCCAGCCTGGTGCAGGTCTACAATTTTGTTTCTGGTGTCCTTCGACAGCTCTTGGATCTTCACCATAGTGGAGTTTGGAGTGTGACTGTTTGAGGTTGTGGACAGGTGTCTTTTATACTGATAACAAGTTCAAACAGGTGCCATTGATACAGGTAATGAGTGCAGGACAGAGGAGCCTTTTAAAGAAGAAGGTACAGGTCTGTGAGAGCCAGAAATCTTGCTTGTTTGTAGGTGACCAAATACTTATTTTCCACCATAATTTGCAAATAAATTCTTTCCAAATCAGCCAATGTGATTGTCTGGATTTTGTTTCTCATTTTGTCTCTCATAGTTGAGGTCTACCTATGATGCCACTTACAGGCCTCTCTCATCTTTTTAAATGGGAGGACTTGCACAATTGGTGGCTGACTAAATACTTTTTTGCCCCACTGTACATACATATACACACACACAAATGTTTTGACTATCATTTCTGTTTTACACCCCCGGTCACATTGGGTGCGACTTGGCATGCGATTTGCATGCAATGTGATTTGCAAATTGTATGCCAAGTCGCACCCTATTATCTGCTATTAGAGCAGTCATATCGGTGCAGTTCTGACTTGGTCTGAGCCACATAGATTTCTAAAGTACTGCATGCACTACTTTTGTTGCGATTTGCATAGACATCTGTGTCAGATGTTTTGCAAATCGCAATGAAATCGGCAGGTCACCTGATTTTGAAACTGTGCAACTTCACAGTAAGTCGCACAATTTCAAAATCAGCTTTGATGTGACGGGGGGGGGCTTAAACTGAATGGGTTTTTTAACAAGGTGGGGGATCACATATACTGTAACTGCCCCCACTGTATCTCTCCAGAAATCAGAAAGCCAGCTTTGGTTAATGAAGCTTGTATTATTAACACATTGCAGTGGATGGGGCAGCAGATGTCACAAGTCAATGGATACTAGAAGGTGTCACCGGAGACTTGTAAAGTGACTCCCTTGAGGTAGGTCATGGGAATTAGATATGTAAATAATAATGTTTTATATTTATAACAACCACGGATCACAACAAACATAGTACTTTGCTTCTAAAGAATTTGGTGAGAACATCTCTCTAAACACCACCAAATGTGATTGGATGTGTATAGTATACATTGTATACTGTAAAGATCGGTATATTATATAATGTAAACAAATACAGAACTCCATTGGTTGAGAACTCAGACAAGCACATGGTGTCACACTGCACTGAGTCATTGTTGTGAAATCAGATAGAAACTTGGAAGACAGAATCATTTGAAACCGATGTCAGTACAATACTTGTAGTTACTCTTCCTTGCATAAAATAAGACACTTGGGACACAATTACACAGGAACGCCTTTTACCAGACGACTCTCTACAACTACAATCTCATGCACTGTGTGCATGCTCACTGCAGGAGATTGTTATGTGAATAGTGGAAATGAAAGCCAAAATCTGGGCATTTTTTAAATATTAAAATGACTCTCCCCCCAGGCAGTAATTAAAATAAAAAGCAGCTCAGACAGCAATACTGGGGCTGACCCCCACAGTATTTCTTTGTCTTCACAGAATGTCCTCAGACTTCCAGGTTGAGTGACACCCAGGAGTAGATTTACTAAAACCTGAACACTGAGAATCTGGTGCAGCTGTGCAGGGCAGCCAGTCAGCTTTCAACTTGGTCAGTGAAGCTTGGACAATAAAACCTGAAAGCTGATTGGTTTCTATGCACAGCTGCACCAGATTTCGCACCATTCAGTTTTAGTAAAATAACCCCCCAAGAGTTGTGCAACCCAGAGGACTAATAACATACGAAGAATACAGGGCATTGTGGCTCTGCCCACAGGGGGGGCATCACCTCTGCACTCTTCATTCAAAGAGCATTGATGCAGAGAGCAGCACTGACTTCATCATGTCTCTGCATCTACAAGAACTGCCTTCAACTGGAGGAGATTGTGAGAGGAAGAGAACCTAAAGTGCTATGTGATCAGCCGAAGACATCAGAAAAAGGTAAGTATATTAAAAAGAGAAGTATGGCCAAAGTTTTCTTTGGCCAGACTTATCTTGTGCACTTACGTTTGCTCTCCTGTTCACCCAGAGTCAGCTTATAGTGGGTTATTGCCAGGCTCTGGAAGGTTCCTGACAATATTGTCGGTATCTACTCAGCTACCTCATTGACAGCTGGTTCCACCTCTCAGCGTGATTGTAGTGATTTCTAGCAACTTCATGTAGTATGGCTCCAGTCCATGACTGTCTCCTGAAGCATGTCCCCAGTCTCCAACACTATCTATAACATAGTCAGACTCTGTCAGTCTCCTGCAGCATGTCTTCAGTCTCTGACCATCTCTTGTATCACGTCTGCAGTCTCTGACCATCTCTTGTATCACGTCTGCAGTCTCTGACCATCTCTTGTATCATGTCTGCAGTCTCTGACCATCTCTTGTATAGCATCTGCAGTCTCTGACCATCTCTTGTATCATGTCTGCAGTCTCTGACCATCTCTTGTATAGCATCTGCAGTCTCTGACCATCTCTTGTATCGCATCTGCAGTCTCTGACCATCTCTTGTATCGCATCTGCAGTCTCTGACCATCTCTTGTATCGCATCTGCAGTCTCTGACCATCTCTTGTATAGCGTCTGCAGTCTCTGACCATCTCTTGTATAGCGTCTGCAGTCTCTGACCATCTCTTGTATAGCGTCTGCAGTCTCTGACCATCTCTTGTATCACGTCTGCAGTCTCTGACCATCTCTTGTATCGTGTCTGCAGTCTCTAACCATCTCTTGTATCGTGTCTGCAGTCTCTAACCATCTCTTGTATCGTGTCTGCAGTCTCTAACCATCTCTTGTATCACGTCTGCAGTCTCTGACCATCTCTTGTATCGTGTCTGCAGTCTCTGACCATCTCTTGTATCGTGTCTGCAGTCTCTGACCATCTCTTGTATCGTGTCTGCAGTCTCTGACCATCTCTTGTATCGTGTCTGCAGTCTCTGACCATCTCTTGTATCGTGTCTGCAGTCTCTGACCATCTCTTGTATCGTGTCTGCAGTCTCTGACCATCTCTTGTATCATGTATGTGATTTCTGACCATCTCTTGTATCATGTATGTGATTTCTGACCATCTCTTATATCATGTATGTGATCTCTGACCATCTCTTGTATCATGTATGTGATCTCTGACCATCTCTTGTATCACGTATGTGATCTCTGACCATCTCTTGTATCACGTATGTGATCTCTGACCATCTCTTGTATCACGTATGTGATCTCTGACCATCTCTTGTATCACGTATGTGATCTCTGACCATCTCTTGTATCACGTATGTGATCTCTGACCACCTCTTGTATCATGTATGTGATCTCTGACCACCTCTTGTATCTCTGACCAGTATGTGTGTAAGAACCCATAGAGTGTGGTGGCAACCCTTGGGACTATACATTAACAAATATAATATAAATTGCTGTACAGACATATACTGTACTATCCATCAACCACATAATATATTAGGGAATAGAACGCTGTCCTTTCCCTCTGTAACATGTAAGATTCTGTCATTAGTATATTCTGTATGCAGTGAGGTTTGCTGTATACAGATGATAGTATTGTCCTGTGTCAGTAAAATATTTGTTTTACATGTTGATATCAGGGCCCCCTGTGTGCCCCCCATGCAGTGGGTGTGTCCCTCCGGGACAATGACAGGTGGAGGGATCACAGGACAGAGTCACACAACTTGTTACATTGTAATGATCAGAGATCCTCCTGGTTACATTACCTTCCCACTGGTGGTGATCCTCTGGTAGGCAGCACTGTTCCCAATGAACGCTCTCAGCATTGTAGTATGAGTACAGAGGAGATCCAGTGTTCGGTGACACCATCCCCAAGTCGTGACACCACACAGATCTACATCTCCGAGCACTCACACTGCACACAGCTCTCCTGCACAGCGCCCTCTACTGTCTCCGCACCCCTCTTCCGGATTTATTCATTCACAGGCTGAGAGCGGCTCTCTCTACACTACAATAACAAACTGGCGGCCAATCACGGACTGCGCTAATGACAGCCAGCCAACCATGTGCACAGGCACGGACTGACAGCCAATGGCCTTCCTAAAGAGGTGACATTGGAGACACTGGCCACGCCGCTGTAGGTGGGGGTAATGACGTATGTGGGCGGAGCTGGGAAGACAGCGGAGCCTGAGATAGAAGTATGGGAGGGGCGGTGATTGCAGGCTGCACAGGATTAACTCTTTGACTCCCTCCCAGCTGCTCTACTATGTCCTTGGATGATGTGCAGTGTAGTCTATTGGGGACATTCTTCAGGAACATGTGGGGCCCCTACCCTGCCCAGGGCCCTGGGTGTTAGTCTGCCTGCAGGCATTCACCCATCATATGGCAGTACTCACCTTGTCGGCTGGTGGGTCCAGGAGAAGCCGGGCATCAGAGCAAACCATGGATGTGACTAAGCTCTCTGCTGTGTGCCCACCAACCAGCCCCGATCAGTGATGTCACCGTTCCCCCTCCCCCCTCACTGTGCCGGATTCTCTCAAAATCAGCACTTGGACACCTGAGGGTCAGTTTTCCTGATGTATGGAGCCTAATGTGTGGTCCCTGACATCACCAAAGGGCCACACATAATGTTCAGTGAACAGAAATCTGTCAGATACTGCAGACATGGTGTAGGAGATGATCAGAGACTGCAGACATGGTGTAGGAGATGACCAGAGACCGCAGACATGGTGTAGGAGATGACCAGATAGTGCAGACATGGTGTAGGAGATGACCAGAGACCGCAGGCGTGTAGGAGATGTTCAGAGACCGCAGACATGGTGTAGGAGATGACCAGAGACCGCAGACATGGTGTAGGAGATGACCAGAGACCACAGACATGGTGTAGGAGATGACCAGAGACCGCAGACACGGTGTAGGAGATGACCAGAGACTGCAGACACGATGGGGAACATGATCAGAGACTGTAGACAAGATGTGGGAGATGATCAGATACTGCAGTCATGGTGTAGATGATCAGAGACTGCAGACCTGATGTGGGAGATGATCAGAGACTGAAGACACAGTGTAGGAGATAATCAAAGACTGCAGACATGGTGTATAGAAGATGATCAAAGACTGCAGTCATGGTGTAGGAGATGATCAGAGACTGCAGACATTGGGTAGAAGATGATCAGAGACTGCAGTCATGGTGTAGGAGGTGATCAGAGACTGCAGATATTCTGTAGGAGAGACTGCAGACATGGTGTAGGAGACCATCAAAGACTGCAGTGATGGTGTAGAAGATGATCAGAGACTGCAGACATGGTGTAGGAGATGATCAGAGACTGCAGACTGAGACGATCACAGTGTCAGACCCCAGCCCTTCTCACCAAACTCGTGACCGAAGGACTAGCCAATATAAAACTGCGCTGTCACATGCGTAACAATGCCGTGCCCAGCTGCACCCTGCACAAAAATTTTCCAGCTCACTGGACCACAATCGATGTGCCAGCAGCCTGGTAGAGATTGTTACTGGGTCAGGTTAATTAAGCTAATAACCCTCTTCACACTGCCACCACCTCCTTTTTGTACAGGGAAAGAGGAAACTCGGCAATATCAGCAATAACACTATGATGGTTGGATAATCGTCTGTATACCACTGTCACCACAGGCAGGTTATACAGAGGGATAAAAACACACACAGTAGCGCTCTTTAGAAACAGGAATTTGTTATTGCCTCTTGCAGTAATTTGTTATTAGAAACTTACGGCATCCTGAGCTGCTGGCACTGGGTTTTCTGGAATCAAATCTGGAAGGAAAGTGGGGTGGAACCCATAGTTGGCATAAAATGGTGATTGTTTGGTGGCGGAGTGGTTTGCGTTATGTGTAGAGGAGTGGTCCAAAATTACTCCGGATCGTTGTGCAGGTCTGATCTGCAACTACAGGAAACGTTTGGTTGAGGTTATTGCTGCCAAAGGTGGGTCAACCAGTTATTAAGTCCAAAGGTTCACATACTTTTTCCTCCCTGCACTGTGAATGTTTACATGTTATGTGCAATTAAACCATGGCAACATCTAATGTTTGTGTAGTATTATGTTCAGCAGACTGTGTTCTTTTATTGTTGTGACTTAGATGATGTTCAGAGCACATTTTATGCCCAATTCATGCAAAACTCCACGTAATCCCAAGGGGTTCACATACTTTTTCTTGCAAGTGTAGGTGCCACCAGGCCTGAAAAATTCTTAATGAATTTTCTATAAAATTTGCAAAGCCGATAAAGCACTGCACACCTTTCTTATCTGCTGGGACTGGCTTATCTGCTGAGACGTTCTGGGGATCCATTGCAATTCCTGAGGTGGAGATGATTAATCCCAAGAATTGAATACTGTCTTGCTCGAAACAACATTTCTCCGCTTTGGCAAACAGTCCGTGCTGGCGAAGTCGCTCCAATACATTCTTAACGTGACCACGATGTGCTTCCAGGGATGATGAAAAGATTAGGATGTCGTCAAGGTAGACGATCACGAAGATGTCCAGATAATCCTTGAAGATGTCATTGACAAAATGTTGAAAGGTGGCTGGGGCATTGCACAACCCAAATGGCATCACTAGGTACTCATAGTGCCCAAATCGGGTGCGGAAAGCTGTCTTCCACTCGTCCCCTTCCTGGATACGGACCAAGTTGTCGGCGCCCCTGAGATCTAGCTTCGTAAAGACGGAGGCCGCCTTCAGTCTCTGGAATAATTCGGGGAGCGGGGAGCAGTTTTTAACTGTGATTTTATTTAATTCCTGGTAGTCCACACAGGGTCTCAGCGACTGATCTTTCTTTTCAACAAGGAAAATTCCTGCACCCGCGGGAGATGTGGACAGATGGATAAATCCCTTTTTGAGGCTCTCCTCGATGTACTCCTTCAAGGCTCCTAACTCCCATTCAAAGAGAGGGAAGATTCAGCCAAAAGGAATTTCAGAACCCGGTAAGAGGTCGATGGGGCAATCATATGCCCGATGTGGGGGAAGGATGTCTGCTCCCCATGGGCTGAACACATCCAGATAGGAGTGGTAGGCCGAAGGAATAGCCTGGGTTAATTCTTCCTCTGTGGTTACACAGCACAGAGGCGGCGTGGCTCTAGGTGTCTCGAGGCAACAGTGTTCCTGGCAATAATGGGACATAAACTGTATTGTACCCGTTTTCCAGTCAATGTGAGGGTCATGGGCTTGTAGCCAAGGAAGTCCCAGGATTACTGGAAACAGAGGGGACGCGATGGCGTCCAATCGGAGGAACGCCTGATGGCGTCCGGCTATCATAGTGTGGAGTGGCGGGGTCTCTCAATCTACTACTCCGGACTTTATCTGGTACCCGTCTGCCAGAAAAATGTGCAGACCCTGCTCTTTGGTCTTTGGTCTGCAACGGAATCTGATGGTGAGCTGCAAAGCCAAGGTCGACGAAGCAGCTACAGGCTCCTGAATCGATAATAGCCATCACCGGTACAAGCCTTCCGGAAGCTGGAAAGAGATGGGTACAGCTAAGTGAGTGGCGTTGTTGAGGCAGGGAGAAGACACCGTAGAAGCAACTGAAGCACACTTACGCATGTTCTCGGGACAAGAACGGACTATATGGCCAGCTGCTCCGCAATATAAACATAAATTGTTCAGCCGGAGTCTCTGGCGCTCTTCAAATGTAAGCGAGGGCCGCATTACTCAGAATCTGCATTGGTCCAGCTTCTTCAGCCATTTCCTGACCTCGATTCCTGCTTGGGGAAGCAAGTTGGAGCGGAACCCAGGGTAACACCCATGTTGGCCTGGGATGTGAAGTGGCCCTTTCTTGCCGGCGTTCCCGCGGCCTGCAGTCAATTTGAATGGCCACTCGACTTAAATCCTCCAGCGTGTCGGGTATACCAACTCCGGCCAATTCGTCCTTAAGTGGTTCAGACAAGCCCAGCCAAAATTGGTGATGCAAAGCTGCGTTGTTCCACTGTGTGTCCCCACTCCAGTGCCTGAATTCAGCTGCATAATCTTCCAGCGCTCGGTGGCCTTGTTGCTTTGTATGTAGAGTCGCCTCGGCCGAAGCAGCTCATCATACAGTTGTGACATTGCCTTAAAAAATGATGACACCGAATCTAAGTGTGAGTGCCGATCCTCCATCAGCCGATGGGCCCAGCCTTGAGGTTCCCCCTGCAACAGCGATATAACAAACCCCACCTTGACTGATTCGGAGGCAAAGGTTCGGGGTTGGAGGTCAAAGTAAAGCAGGCAGGAGTTCTGGAAAGCCCCGAATTTCTTCCGATCCCCATTAAAACGCTTGGGCGTAGGTACTCGAGGTTCAGGTGGAGGGATGGTGAATACTGCTGGCGGAGGATTCTGCGGGGTCCTGGGGCACAGGTGCACCTGCCGTGGCAGATGGCGTGGCTGCTGGTGTGGTTAGAGTCTGGATTCGCCCCTTCAGGTGCCTGTACCCCTCTTAAAGTGTCTTCACTGCCTGAGTAAGATCCCCTATTGCCCGGGGGCCCCATGAGTTGTCAGTCCGCCTCTGTCAGAGACTACAGACGTTGTAGGAAATGAATAGAGATATGGTGGTTGATTTACTAAGACTGGAGAATGCAAAATCTGGTGCAGCTTTGCAAAGAAGACTGATTCTTCTTCCTTGGGATGGAACAGAAGTGATAACATGTTTGCACAACAACCAGCACAGGCCCAATGGGAAAAGACAGCTAGGAACAGGACCCCAGGACAAAAGAATCCCACTCTTGCCCTTTAATAAGTCAAGGTGAAAATCCACTTGATTCCGTAGTCCGCATCCAGTAACTGCTCAGTGAATCAGTACAGTAAGTGGACAAAG